CTCTAAATACAAAACAAAGCTAAAATGAAACAAACCATAAAACTGATTTTAGAAATACTCACAAATACAACCAAATTTACTTCTACCAACTTTTTCAGAATTGTGAATGGGTCCATTATGTGTATGTGTGATTTTAAGACTGGAAACCTAATTTTAGGGCTGAAAATCCCTGAGCTTTGGAAAGGGAGGTCGCTATTTGTCTGCTCTCTTACTGAGAAGCATTTGCTGGCACTCGGATTTGCTGATAGGAGGTTCTGGCCAAGGATCTAATTTCTGTTTTCTGGCAACAAGGCGTCAACAAAGAAAACAGTCTTTGGCTCCTTGCAGCCCACGCTTCCTGGATGCTCTGGGCGCTCTGGGAGAGGCTAGGACTCCAGCACTGACTGCCATTCAGCCCCACAGACAGTGAGCAGAGACCTCAATAGATGGGCATTGGGGTAGATCCCCATCTTGTTTCCTTGCTGACAGCGCAGAGTCGTTATTCTTGTTTGGCAGGCTACCCATGTCCGGTTCTACCTGGGACATCACGTATACTCTCAAGCATTTATGTTTTAATCTGCCCCACATCAAACCATACACAATTTCATTCAAATATTAGGGAGTGTCATCAGACGATTTTTAAAAGATCAAGCTCAGGAATTTCAATCTATGTGATGTCTAGTCCCCTGTGTAGAAGGATGGGAAAGCTCATTAGAATTTCTGTAGCTTTTAGAGCTCAAGGAGGTCATAGAAATCACAATTCAATTCTATCTTTCTGTCTGGAAGGAAAAGGAGGCTCAGAGGTAATAAAAATGATTGTGTGTTCCAGAATTTCAGCAGGAAGAGCCAGGGCTGCTGAATTGAGTTACACGAGAATCCAGGCATAGGGCAGCGTCCACTAGAGGAAGGGGTGCCTTTTTCTATTTGGCCCCCAAATGCTGATTGCTCATCAATCCACAGCCCTGCAGGACTGTGTCACAAGGGGTGCCTTTTTCTAATTCACTTAAAAGTACTGTATGTGCTTGAGGCAGCCTAGGCTAAGAAGCCCAATTTTTATGACTCCAAGTCTAGGACTCTTCATCGATATCACTTGGAGAACAGCCACTTGTCTTGATGACTATCCCTTGCGTAAAAAGCCTGCAGGTTATTTATTTATTTATTTGTTTGTTTATTTATTTATTTATTTTTGGCTGTGTTGGGTCTTCGTGTCTGTGCGAGGGCTTTCTCTAGTTGCGGCGAGCGGGGGCCACTGTTCATCGCGGTGCGCGGGCCTCTCACTATCGCGGCCTCTCTTGTTGTGGAGCACAGGCTCCAGACGCACAGGCTCAGTAGTTGTGGCTCATGGGCCCAGTTGCTCCGCGGCATGTGGGATCCTCCCAGACCAGGGCTCGAACCCGTGTCCCCTGAATTGGCAGGCAGATTCTCAACCACTGCGCCACCAGGGAAGCCCAAAGCCTGCGGTTTTACAGAGTTTATTTTTTCACCCGTATTGTATTGAATGTTTATGACGCAGAACAGGTTCTCACACTAGGAACCCCAAGAGCTGTTCCAGGCCCAGATTATGATGCCCATTTTATAGATGAGGAAACGGAGAGCAGTGAAGAGAAGTCAGAGCCTGTGGTCCCTGGGCTTGGAGTGTCCATGTCTGAGGCAGAAGCACAGTCTTTTGAACAGGAGGGAAGAAATAAAGTACCAGCTTGTTTGCCCCCAGGCATATTTAATCTAAAATCGCACATTCATGTAAAGAACAGAGTTAGGTTTTTATAAAATCTAAACTTTTTCTCCTCCTCTATTTTCCTGCTGATGTGTGAAGGCGTATCTCCTGTGTGTATCTCCTCTGAGGGATTTTGATCGTGGTTGCCTAATTCAATGAAGCAAATACCTGGCGGCTGGCCCTGCTTTTATGAAACTCACAAAAGGGAAGAAGGGAAGAAGGTTCTAGTCAGGGGCCATTTTCCTCTCCCTCCAAGGCAGAAAGAATCTGGAACTTCAATTTCTTCTTGAGAAAACCCCGACACAGGACAGAGTGATCTCTTTGGGTGTGTGAGGCACACAGTCTTCATCACTGCTTTGTGCATAGCATTTTCTGGTACTTCTTCACCTGAGGAGAAACCGTGGAATGAGTCAGTACCATTTAATAACATATACCTACGAGTTTTAATTGCAGTACAAATGCTGAATTATTTCACAGAAGACAGCCATGGGGAACAACTCGCTCACTGACGTCCAGAAAGGAGGTAATGAGGGCCACCTCACTAGTTCTTGCTGCCAAAGAATGAAACATCCCAAGGTGACTGACAATGGTATGGCTGAGAAGTGAGAAAAAGTTGAACTGTTCCCACATCCAAAACTCTTCCGGGAGACAGGAGCCACTTGCAGAAACTCCCAAACTGCAAGTTTGATTGAGCCCATGGTTATGATCCCTGGCTACATCCTGCCAAGAAGCCTGTGATGTGAAGTGACCTCCCCACACAGCCCCTCATCCCACCCGCAAATCTTCTACCCCCAGATAATTTTTTTTTTTTTTTTTTTTTTTTTTTTTTTGGCGGTACGCGGGCCTCTCACTGTTGTGGCCCCTCCCGTTGCGGAGCACAGGCTCCGGACGCGCAGGCTCAGCGGCCATGGCTCACGGGCCCAGCCGCTCCGCGGCATGTGGGATCTTCCCGGGCCGGGGCACGAACCCGTGTCCCCTGCATCGGCAGGCGGACTCTCAACCACTGCGCCACCAGGGAAGCCCTACCCCCAGATAATTTGATGTTTCCAACACGAGACACAAGGGCCCGTTCCGTTTTGGACCTGGGCGATTTCCTCAGGCACACTGAGACACATAACGTCCACCACCGTTTGAGCTCACTGCTGGGTAGCAGCTGCAGGCTCTTGCTGTCAGAGTCTCCTCATTCCCACATCCCCGGGTAAATCACGGTGTTTTCTGTGCCTGCTTCTGACCTCGGAGGCCAGACAGCGTCAAGTCTGGAACAATCTGATCACTGATCCTGCCTCGCTCTACGATGGATGGCATCAGCTCTGTGAAAAGCTGGCTTTTGAGTGACTCACCTCTGAAACTATGGAATTTGAACTCAATAATTTCTTGAAAGATCTTATGAAGAACCCACCAGAAAAATAGCCAAACAAAATGTTCCAGCCCCCTCTTCTCCTGACGCACATTGCTAGGGAGGAAATTCTGCGTGCTCTGTTAATTCAACATGCAACCGACCTTTTCTGGTCACTTGCTATGATACACCTGGAGAGAGGGTGAACATGGTAAGTCTTGCCCTTTCTTTCCCTGTTAGGTTACCGGAGATTGAGGATAGAGCAGAGTTTGACAACATTTCCACCTTAATAGTCCTTCTCTAAGCCATCTTCTGCTTTGCAAGGGCCAAGCAGCTGCCTTCTCTATCCGAGTCTTCTCTTGAAACTGGGAATTGGGTGTCACCCATCTTTCTGGGAACTCTTGCCCTTGGCCCGTCTTGTCAGATTCAGGTAACTTCCCTCAAGACAGAGGTACCTAAAAAGGCCCTGGAAATCCTAGCTAGACCCCAGTTAAACCCTCCTCCTTCTTCCCAAGCTGACATTGTTACCTCTGAATTACTATCTGATGGTGGGTGGGGATAAAAGTGGGGATCAGACAAGAAGGATTACCTGTTATGTCTCATCTTTTTCCGTCTGTAAATCATATATCCCATTGTTTCAAAGGGTTGTAATCATGGTTGGCATTTATAAAGTTTTTTTATGACCTTGAAGCACTTGGCAGTCATATGTAAGTACATAATTATCTTAAGAGACACATCAGTGCAATCTTCATTTTGTAAGCAGAGAAGGGAACAGGCACAGCGAAGGAGGTATAGGAAAGCTCTGGTCATTCATGAATTCATTCCTTAGACAGTTTGTTACTTAGTAGTGGGTTTAGAGAGGGGTTCCAAAATGAGTATGATTTCATCCCTTCCTTTAAGAAATTCTAAGTACAGTGGAAAAAGTAGATGTAAACTGATGAAAAATATAGAATGAGGTAAGTGCGGTGACAGAAGGGTTATGATAGAGGCAGGTACAAAAAAAAAGGCCATGTGAGTTCAGAGAAGGAGTGGCTGGAGAGAGGGAAGGCTTTGCAGAGAAGGTGGCAGTTAAGCTGGGTCTTGAGTGACTGTCTGTCACCAATAAGCAGAAATGAGCCACAATGTCCTCAGCTGAAAAAGTGTTTGAATTCGAACTCAGTAGTTTCTTGGGTTTTAAAATATTAAATTTTCAGAAAAGTTGGAGAGGTTATTTTACAGTTGTTTTGAAGGTGGGGTGGGGTAGGATCTTTACTACAAATTTTTCTGGGAAAGCATGCTAATGAATGCTGTGAAAATCCAATTTATGAATACCAATTTAAAAGTTTTATTTTATTCCCTTGTGAGGAGGTTTTTGTAAGTGGGTGGAGTGAGGCCGCTGAGGACCAGGTTTCCTGCTGAAAAGCAGAGCCCCAGCTGGCATCAGAAAAAGCTGAGGGGAACCCCATCAATCAGGTGCTGGGAGATGAGCTCACGCAGCGGCACTGCCCTCTGCCCGTGGGTCCAAGAAAGCTTTTATCCCATATGCCCCGGGGCCAGTCCACTCTCTCAAATTCTTACACTTTCACCTTAGAAATAGGAATAATGACAATATTCCAGCCCATCTGATGATATTCAGGAATGCTTTCTGCAAAGCCTAAAGCATCTGGTAAATCAGTCGAGCTTATGGTGAAACCAGAGAGCTGTGGAATGTTTTAGTAAGGACATCTCTTTCAATGTCAAACAGGGAGCAGAGTTTCAGAAGCTTTGGGGTTCCTTGGAAGCAAACCGTCTCCAACAGGCATTAATGGGGCATAATTAATGCTCTTTCCTCACAAGATAATATGAATCAGAATTATACTTATTTGGAGTTATTATTGGTAATTAAATAAATGCTATTCAGTTTTTTTCCTCTCAGTATCCAAGTTATAACAACATTTTTTTAGCACAGTTGGATTCTGAGAAGTCTTAATATGCAATTTATCCTACCTTTAGCTACTTCAAGTAAAGAACAGGCACGAAGGCATCGTGGGACCTCCGCTGACTACACAGAGTCAAGATTCCTGGAGAACGTTCCATTTGCCTTCGCTGTTTAGCATTGCGGTCACTAAGTGTTTCACAACATCCCAGGAGACGGGACCGTTATTCACACAGAGGGAAAAAGAAACCCAGAGTAGATGAATAAATTGACTTAAAGTCATAGTATTGATAGATGTCAGTTTCCCAAATAAAAAAAACAAGCGGTTGTACTCTCTAAGGTTGTTTTGCAGTTCTGATCATTTTTTATGAAAAGCTAGGAGGCGGGAGGAATTACCATGAACTGATCTGATTCTAGGTCTCCCCACTCCCCCATACCTTCTGGAAATCCAGAAGGAGGCTCCTGTCTTCAGCAAGATGGTTGCTACCACTGCTCTGAGGGTACCAGGTCTGATTCCAGCTCTGTTCCAGCATACTCCGGTTTCCTTATGAGGAACGCTCTGAATTTCTCTGAACTTCCAAGCTGCAGGGCTGAGCACAGGGTACAGATTTTTCTCCCAGTCGTTTGGCTTCTGAGTAATGGTTTTTTTGTCTCTAAGGGTAATAAAAGTACATCTGATGCTGCTCCCTGTACCATGAACTTTGCTTTGAAGCACCATTGATCCACTTCAAAGGCTGAGCACCACTCGGACAGGGAGATGCTGTTCCTGGGGACCCCGCTCTACCGAGGTGTGCCCACCAACCCGGGACACACTGCCCACCAAAACACTTAAAGACCGGGGGTCAGACATGTCAAATGTGACAGATTGGCATGCTGCAACTTCAAACTGCTCTACCTTCGGAACCAGCCTAGAATACCCATCATGCTTTGAACTCTATGGGGAAATGAAATGCATCGTTTACATGCAGACGGATTTACAAATTAAGTAGAAAAATATCTCAGTCCTCAAAGCCGAGCATAGAGTGCTTGTGGTGTTCAGTCCACATTGAACTGTTCAAACCTGGTTAGACTGGGGAGATCAAGCCTGTGGTGGAAACACAAGGGAGAATCATGGTCACAATAAGGCTTCGTATTTATAGTTCAGCAAATGAAGATCGCTGCAAATAACAGACTGCAAGTTGGAAGGGGCCTTAGGGAGCATCTGGTCTTACACCCCTTATTTTAGAGTTGGGGAAACTGAGGCCCAGAGAAGAGGTTATTCACTTGATTTTACTACGAACGTTACTGGTAGAATCTGAGCTTAAGTCCCAGGTAGCCCCATCCCTGGAGTCAGTATACAATAGCAGGGAAGGCTCAGATTTTATGCCTCCTAGACTTGGAAACCCTTGCTGATTTTACTAGCTCTCTGATAATGGCCAAATTTCTCATCCTCTCATTTTCAATGTCTTCATCTGTAAAGGGCTAGTGATAGCTATCTGATGAGTTGTCATGAGATTTAATTGAGATAATAGAAAGAAAACACAAAGCACTTAGCAGGCCATCATTAAAAGGCAATTGTTAATTTTTCCATATCAGAATGCCTCAACAGAAGGAAAACCAACTATGATCTCTCTAGCAATGTTTTCCAGCTCTCATGACATTTTTTTTTAAATGCATTTTCCCATGAAGCATTTTGGAATCTTCAAAGTTAATTTTCACACTATTAGATTTAAGATTTATCTCTGGCCCCAAATAACACACTTATTTCTGGGACAGGGGCACAGGAGAGGGGAAATTTGTTGTACAAAATCGAGAGGGTATTTCAATTCCAAACTGACTGTCAATCATCAGTCTAGAAAGGAGATGGCCGCCTTTCCTGCAGCCACCTTATCTGGCCCTTCTGACTTCCTAGCCTCCCCGAGACCAGGACAATTCAATGGCTTTTCCTGGTCCTCTCTGTCTCAGCATGTTGAGAAGCACAACAATTTTCATCTACTCCTTTCACTAAACATTCTCTCACTTGCTTTTCCACCGTGTAGGAAACACAGAATCATCGTTTAGCAGCAGAGGGCACTGTCGGCATATTTTGCCTTAAGGGGTTAAAAAAAGAGATGCCTCTGTGCATTCATTCATTCATTCATTCATGTTGACAAGTCATGGCTTAATATCTGTTGTGTGTTCGGTATTAGGAGGGGTGCTAAAGTAACACAAGAGGTGGACTGAGAGTCCAGGTTGGGAAGGCTGCACAATAAAAGATAAGCATGGTACCTATGCAAACACAAAGGAAGTGTGTTTTGGAGATTTTTGAAGAGAGCAGAGTTTACAGTAGGCTTAAATAGCTCAGGAAGAATTTTTTTTTTTTTTTTTTTTTTTTTTTTTGCGGTACTTGGCCTCTCACTGTTGTGGCCTGTCCCGTTGCGGAGCACAGGCCCCGGACGCGCAGGCTCAGCGGCCATGGCTCACGGGCCCAGCTGCTCCACGGCATGTGGGATCTTCCCGGACCGGGGCACGAACCCGTGTCCCCTGCATCGGCAGGCGGACTCTCAACCACTGCACCACCAGGGAAGCCCACAGGAAGAGTTTTTGAGGGAGTTGGTCTAGAGCTGTTCCTTAAATGATGAGCTGGACATGGAATGGCAAAGATGAGGCAAAAGGTAAAATAGACAGCAAAACCAAAGAGTCTTGCGTTGCCATCAACAGCGGCACTGTAACCATGGCAACCTCTACTGCAACAAGTATTACCTCTATGTCTTATAACAGTCATCACGGCTCACGTGGATGGAGGCTTTCACAACCGTGACCTCATTTGGCCCTTGCTGAAATCCTGCGACTTCAGCTCTACAGGTATTATTCTAATTTGACCAGTAAGAACGCTGAGACCCTTAGAGGGAAAGTGACGCGCTTAAGGTCACACAAGCAGTCTCTGTTAGGGCTAGGATCCCCAAACTAGTTTTTCTCCCAGCTAATGCAGCAGGAAACCATGGCTCTTGTGACACAGACTCTCAAAGCAAAGAGAGTTTGGGATGCAGAGTAATAGGGTAAGCTTCAGCTGTTAGGCTGGCTTCAGGTTACCAAGAGCTTGACCAAGAGTTAGACTGCGGTATTGGGGCTTGATCCCGTAAACCTCAGGAAGGTTTCTGAGGTTTAGGGAAACTAGCGATGGGTGGTTCTTTGCTGCAGTTGCATAGCAAATCTGGCACACGAGGGAATGGAAGAAAAGGAGAGAAATCAGGATACCAATAAAGAAAATATTACAGGATTTGAGGCTGTGGTGGCAGTAAGTGGGAGTGGTCTGCTCCAGATGGGAGGAGATTTTATGATTGCCATTAACTGCTGGCACATAGAAATAATACAAAGAAGATTGACCTTTAAAAACATTTTTAGGGCTTCCCTGGTGGCGCAGTGGTTGAGAGTCCGCCTGCCGATGCAGGGGACACGGGTTCGTGCCCCAGTCCGGGAAGATCCCACATGCCACGGAGCAGCTGGGCCCGTGAGCCATGGTCGCTGAGCCTGCGTGTCCAGAGCCTGTGCGCTGCAACGGGAGAGGCCACAACCAAAAAAACAAAAACAAAAACAAAAATTTTTTAAATTTATTTGTTGATATTGTTGATTTACAATGTTGTGTTAGTTTCTGCTGTACAGCAAAGTGACTCATTTAACTATATATACATATATATGTGTATATATATATATTATTTTTCCTATTCTCTTACATTATGGTTTATCACAGGATACTGAATATAGTTCCCTGTGCTATACAGTAAGACCTTGTTGTTTATCCATCCTATACATAATAGTTTGCATCTGCTAACCCCAAACTCCCAATCCACTCCTTCCCCACCCTACCCCCCCTTAACAACCACAAGTCTGTTCCCTATGTCTGTGAGTCTGTTTCTGCTTCGTGGATAGTTCATTTATGTCATTTTTTAGATTCCACATATAAGTGATATCATACGGTATTTGTCTTTCTCTTTCTGACTTACTTCACTTAGTATGATAATCTCTAGGTCCATCCATGTTGCTACAAATGGCGTTATTTCATTCTTTTTTTACGGCTGATTAATATTCCATTGTATACATGTACCACATCTTTTTTATCCATTCATCTGTTGATGGACATTAAAGTTGCTTCCATGTCTTGGCTATTGTAAATAGTGCTACAAAGCAAATGGACCTTAAATTGACTGGTTTTAAATTCCTTACAGAAAACACACTCCCTTATTGCCGCAACCCGGGGGGTCAAATCCCACCATCCTCCTACCCTAGCCCCATACACCCTCTGGTCTACCACTGTCAAGGCACAACGTAAAGACAGCCTGAATCAGGCTGGCCGCAGTGTAAAAAACTGAGAAAAGCTATTTTGAAGAAAAAAGAAATAAGGACTTGGTAGTTGATGGAATCACCAAGGAAAGAAGATAAAAATCATGATTCTGAGATTATGAGCCTAGGAAAAGAACGATGTCAATAATGCAAATAGGGAAGTGAAGAAAAAAATAAACTGGTTTCAGAGGGAACGTGACCTTACAGGACAGGAGGACTTCCAAGTGGCAAGTCAACCCTCAGCTGGAATGCTTTGGTACAAAGTTATTTCCTATTCTGTTTATTGATTTCTTGCTTTCCACTTATCATCTGATACTTATAAATGATGGGGGTTGCATATATCTCTTTTACAAGAAGGAACTGAAATGAGGGATAAAACTGCCAAGCTATTAGTGTTACCATTCATCGCTTAACATCCTTCCACTGACATCAAAACCAGTGTCATTATTCTTACGGTGACAGAACTGTGCACATTGGAGCCCTGTGTACCTTCTTCTCTCCTTGACTCCCTACCTTACACTGCCCGCTGTTGCCTCTTAGATGTTTACATTCTGTCTTCTCTCCCCAGAACACTCTCATCTTCTCCAAACCTTTCCAGCTTCATCAGGAAACTCTCACAGGAGGGTGGCCAACCGTCCCTGTTTCTCTGGGACTGGAGAGTGTTCAAACCAGGACAGTCCCAGGCAAACCTGGACAGTTGGTCACCTTACACGTGAGTCAGCTTTTGTCTTGCATTCTTCTTCCTCTTGGAAGCCTTTCCTGACCCGCTACTGCCCCAGGCTATAATTTCCATCTCCCCTCTGAGCAAGTAGTCCACCCCCATCCTGCTGCCACCCTTCTCACTCTCCTAACTACTGAGATGAGGTCCATCTCCCCTGCTATCCACAGTAGATGTCTTTGTAGTACCTCCACTCTCAACATCCTGGTTCAAGCACCTGTTGTCTCTCTGCTGAATTATCGCAGAAGCCTCCTAACTTCTGTCCTGCTTTCCATCCTTGTCTCCTTTGAGTGTATTCTCCACACAAAAGCTAGAGTCATCCTTCTGAAACATAAGTCAGATCATGTTTACCCCTCTGCTCAAAATCTTTCGCTCATTTTCCATTTCACTGGCTAAGCCAGTTACCCTCTGCTCTTCCCTCTGTATACTCCCTCCTTACTTAGCTCCAGTGGCACTGCCCTCATTATTGTTCCTAGAACACATCCAGCATGCTCCTGCCTCAGGGCCTTTGCATTTACTGTTGCTGATGTCCGAACCATTCTTCCCTCAGGTGTTCACATGGCTCATCATTCACGCCCATGGAGTCAAGGGCGTGAATGTTAAAAGATTAAAAGTTAAAAGATCTTAGGGGATCTCCCATGACTTCTTTCTACACTCGAACTCTTGCAGCTGCCATTCCCACTCCCCCTCTCTGCTTTATTTTTCATACCCTTATCACCATCTAACATTTTACCTAATAAATTCTGTTTGCTGCCTGTCTCCCACCATGCAGAATATAGTTTCTAGGGCAGGAATTTTATTCATTACTACACTTCCAGGGTTTAAAATAGTACATGGCACAGAGTAGAAATTCAGAAATATTGATTGAATTCATGTATACATGATTATAGGAAGGAGTGGACACACAATCAAAGGACAATTAACTGAGAGTCACGAGTTTTAGTTCAGCCACACAGGATTTGGGTGAGATTGAGAAAATTCCTTTCTCCCTCTAGTTCTTATTTTCTCCATCTTTACAATGAAGGCCTTGGACTCAGGGATCTTTAAGGGAGCTCCAAGCAGTGGTATTCTCAAAGTCTAGCAGTCAATGATACGTAAGAGCCAGAATCCAATCTTGTTATTAAAGAGGGCTCCGAAGGAAGAAAACATTAACAAGGGAAGGAGGAGCACTGTGGAAGTTCCAACTGAGACAAAAAGATAGATGTATAAGAGACCTGGGAATACCGTATGTGAGGAGATGCAAAGGAGGCAGACGGCTGATCCAAGATAACACATCCAATTCATTATCGGGTTAAGACTGAACCTCAGCCCAGGGATAAATTATCCTAGCAGTCTGGAAAATGACACCCAAAGTGGGCCAATCCCCATCTGATTATAAAGCCCTGCACTGATACGATTTGTGGTTAGAACACTGCTTGGAAATCCTTCGGCACACCTGCCTAATGGCCCCCAGAGTGGGTGGATTCTCAAATTAGTCATATGAGAACGGACAGTTTAACAGAAGAGAGGCTGCTCTAGATGGTTCCATTTGGAAAAGTGTCCTCCCTTCAGCAAAGGGAAGTAATTTAAGATGCACACAGCTCTCTGTCTATTGCCCACCCGTCTTGAGGGGAGAAACCTATTGGCCACCGTCTTAGAGAGGGTCCTTGGAGAGAGGGTGGAAGGGGATGGATTAGTCAATTTAAGGTGCTTCGAGTGCTATAGCTGCCACACCCTGATTGTGAGGGACCAGACCGGTTATTCAGCTTCTCCTGTAGAGCTACTGTATGGATACGGACTTAAGCCCAGTAAGGTCAGTGAGTTACTCAACAGTAACCAAATCCCTGGTGTTGCGGGATTATCAGGGCGATCTCCCTCTGCAGTTGTGGTTGAATAGGATTTTGCTGTTGTCACCTTGTTTGGTAACACAGCCATAGCAAGTGTTGCAAGTGTAATTGCTGCTGTTGAAATGTCCTCTTGGCAGTTCCTAGGGTGTGTGTGTGTGTGTTTGTGTGTGTGTGTGCGTGTGCGTTTACCATCTTTTCAAAGTGGCTCTGGGAACTTAGATTCCACTGCAAGGAAGTAACCATGGATTGAATTTAGATCCAACTAATAGATATCAAACCCCTAGTTCTTGCCAGACGTTGTATTGAACGCTTTGGTGTGCTCTAAACCTTGTGAAATAGTGCCATCAGTTTTCACAGATAAGGAAACCAAAGCCCAAAGGAGTTAAGTAACTTACTCATGGCCCTAGTGAGAGCCAGTTGCCAAGCAAGCCAGGATTGAAGGATTTTAGCATCTTGCCATCCAGACACATAAAATCTTGGGAAGAATACCACTGTATAAAACAGGAAAAGTTGTGGCTGCTTG